CGCAGGTGCAGGGGCGGGGGCTCGGCCGGGCGCAGCCGGGCCCGGGACGCGCGGCCGCGGCGGAGGTACAGCCTCCGGGCCGCCGTCCCGGCCCTCGGCCCGCGGAGGCCGAGCGGCCCCCTGGACGTGTCGGCGTTGCCCCCCTTTTGAGTGGTCCCTTCCGGAGAGCACACGGGTGAGAAGGGCTTTTCCAAAACCCTTTTGCTGGTGTCGGCGCGGTATGGGTGTTCGGCTTTTGTGAGGAGTAAGAAACGCGGAATGGAGATTTGGGGCGTGGGGACGTGTGATTTCTAATGCTTAACAACTTGAGATGCACAGGTGCAAGTCATCCCCGCACAGTTACTGAACCGCGCGCAATAATGATTCCCTTCTTGTTCTGTTCCTTTCCATTATTTCTGTACCATTATTTCCCGGTCTTAGTTGAAGGCGATGCAGCTCTGCTCCTGCTCACTTAACGGCAGCATTTCTGCGTGTAGTCTCGGATGTTTACCGTTTTCATTATAGTGGTTGTACATTCAGATTTGCACTCAATTATCCCTTTATGTAAATTTGCCATATGCTCAGCGTTTCTCGTCTTCAAAAAGATCATGCAGTGACCTTCATGGAGCTTTTTCTTTCTTTCCTTAGTAGAAATTCTCCAAAGGGAGGACACTGAGTCAAAGTTACGTGTTCTTTCTTCGGCACTTGAGCTAACTCGTTCCCCAAACAAGGCGTGTTTTTCAAAATCTGAATCTGGGTATTTGTCGGGTTCTGTCCCCGTGCCTGCGGAGCTCAGCACGCTCTGTTGGGGTACCTGCTGAAGCTGAGCTGGCGCCTGCTGCTTTGAGGCATGCTGCCTGGAGGAAGTGTCTTCACGGCCACGCTCACTTCACGTGTCGGAAAGGGGTCACCGACTAGTACCTGCTTTGTTGAGTTGCCATAAGAATTCAGAGCATTCAGAAAATGGTGTATTAGCCGCAAGAAAAGAAAACGTTCTGATGGAGAGACAGCACGGTGCCTGGGGTCACAGAGGCATGGAGGATTAATTCCATTTAGGTTTTGTCCTGATTGTCTTTAATACTGTCCCCCAAAAAGCACGTTTGCTTTGAGTGAGGTACATCACTAATAAAAATAATAGTTCTTCACACTTGATGATGCCTTTTAGTTTGCAAACTGCTTTCAACTCAGGCAGGCTTATTCAGTGAACATTTGTTATTTCACAAGCATTTGTTGAGCCTCTGCCTCTGCCAGGTGCCGCTCTATGCACTGGATTTACAGCAAAGAAAGTAATAGTGAAAAAAAATTCTCTGCTGTCCTAGACCGTGAATTCTGGTGGGAGAAGCTGTTTTTACCAAGTGTCCATCTCTGCTGTCCGGAAGCAGAAGGCCAAGGCCCAGCATGGCCCAGCAACCTGCGCGAGGCCTCGTAGCCGGTAACCATGGAAGGCAAACCACGTCCGCCTCCAGCCATCTTTAGACAGGAGGTGTTCACACAGCAGACGCTTTAGAGAGAAAGAACACACTTCAGTGCAGGCCTTCCTCACCTGAAATGTGGACGAGTGTCTTTGAAATGACTGCTGGCCCTTCCCAAGCAAGTGGCCTTTCAGGGTGGTTTCACCCAGCAGACTAAGCAGCTCGTGGTCTCATTCAGAGAGGAGGATGGTTAGCTTTTTGTAAAGTGCTGAGATTCCCTGCAAAGGGTGTGTTTTCGTATGTGCTGCAATCCTCACACATTCTGGTGTGAGATTAGGAGAAACGCAGGAGCAGCTGCAGTTCAGGGGGAGAAAGCAGGAGTGCTCTCTTCCCGCCGCGTTTCACTCTGCAGCCTCGTACAGGCGCGTCTTCTGCCAGCCCATCCTGGTGATTTTCATGTTCCTGAGTACAGTCTTTAAAACTCAGTCCTCGTGAAGCTGGGTAAAGCACAACTTGAATTTCCGGTAGGAAAAGGAGAACCAAAACTAGCGACGGCCGCTGCGTTGGGCCGGCTTGTGAAGTGGGTAGTCACAGGACGTGCCTGTACCGCCAGCCCTTTCCAGGTGGACTCCCCACCTGCGCCACTTTGCGTGTGGTCCCAGGTCAGGTGTCCACTCTTAAAACCTGGCCGCTGAGGCTGGAGCCCCAGAGAACACAGGCAGTGAAGAAGGATGTTTAAACCGTGATCATCAGGGAAAAGCTCCGGGAACTATCTCAAGAGAGCCATGTTGAGGGAGCTGGAGGCCTGCCTGTGGGAGAGGAGTTTGAGATTTCCCTCAAATCTTCAAGGGAAGGGCAAGGACCAGGAGGTGGAGGCTGCCAGGAGAGGGATCGCTGTGTGTTCTGGGGAAGAATTTGGAATGGGTGGGCCCTCAGCATGTGGGCCTCAGGTCCCGGGGCTGCTCAGGTGTCTGGAGTGGCTTCTTGGCCGGAGTCCTATAGATGGACTGAGCTGCTTCCAAGACTGCTTCCTGCCCTTCAGATACCTTCATTTTCAGGGTTCCAGGTCCTCTCAAGAGCACTGTTGTACTTTAAGCAGCTTCTTGCTGAAGGCTGGACGTGTAAAAATGGCCACGGCATGCGTATTACCAGCCTTGTTGGGTCGATAACCGGAACATTAGAAGCTGACTGATGGAAACTTCCGTTTACCAAGCATATCCTGTATGTGGGGCACTGTTAAGTCTGCACAGGAACCAGTTTTACAGCGGCCTGCAAGGGCAGTGTTCACAGTCGTGCAGATGAGGGATTGAGGTTGTGAGGGGTTCATTTCTGCAAGGCTTTGCGGTGAGTTGGGGGAAGTAGGAGCCGAGGTACGACTCTGGGTTTGACTCCAAAGTCCGTATTTACAACTACAGGGGAATGAATTTTATTTCCGTGGCGGTTTCCTTTTCCAGACCTGTACCCTTTTCCTAAGCACAGACATAGGTTGCTTGAGAGACGGTGTTGGAACGCACCTCGGATCTCCTTGAGTTCTGAGTGCGGATGGTGGAATGTTCCTTCTCTCCTTATTCGAGCTGGCCCGCCCCATGTGTGCTGTAAAGCTGGGTGGGCACTCTTTCTGCCGAGGGCTTCTCCACCCATACTTAAATCTGCCCTTGCATCCATAGACAACTTGTAGGCAGCATGGCTGTGTTCCAGTACAGTTTTACTTGCAGGCCCGAGGGCCGTACTGTGCTGATTCCTCTCCAAAGCCACTTTCCACGGTGCCCACCCATGGTCCTCCTGGGTCTCCTTAGGGCTTTGGTCAGTTGTGCATACGTTTCTGTCTGTAATGCATAGTCTTTAGGCCAAGTTCATTGTGATGGCCCACATTTCCCATTACGGAATGCCCCGGAAGAGGTGCTCCGTGGAGAAGTGTGTTTGTGGGACCGTGAGTCACACCAGCCCAGGACCCACTGGCTCCCTCTCGATTGCTGCAGGGAGAGACACAGGTGCACGAGGACGCTGTTTGGGCTGGTTACCCACTCAGCGCGGCATGTCCGCACCAGCGCATGCTGGCAGCAGTTTAAAGGACAGGATAGATCCATGCTTTCTACCTGGGTCATCAAAGTCTAATTAACAAGAAAATGGATTACCGATGGATTTGTACGATGACCCCTTTTTGTGTTAGAAATGTATTCGTATGCACGTTTTTCATGGGTACCACCCGTGTGAATGTGTGGAGCCTGTGGTGTCTCCATCACGTGGCAGGAGCCATTGCTTCGGGGAGGAGGGTGGGAGGAGTCTGGGACTGCAGCTGGTGATTTTAGGTTAGACGCTCATGTTTCAGTGTTTTACAAGGAGAGTGAATTTGTTTATTGTGTAGCTAAAATTTAAGAATATCAGAAAAGAGCTGCTCGGCTCCAGCCTTCTGCCCCCTGCCTCGGCCTTCCCAGGGTCACCCCGAGTGGGCGTGCAGGGACAGATGCCCTGGGCTCACTGGGAAAGTGCCTCCATCCCTCAGGCCTGCTGGAGTTGCTCCTGCATCCAGTCCCCAACCTCCCTTTTGTGATGAGGACACAGCCCGAGAGGGGAAGGTGGGAGACACTGAGGGCCTGTGGGAGCAGAGCCTCATCTCCGGTGCCTGTTAGCCAGGGTCCTCCTGTTTGTGCCCTGCTCCCAGTCCGCTGGGTGGCTGACTCCCTTTTCTTCAAGGTTGTCATTATCTGGTCAACCTCGTGTTCCAGTTGAGGAAAGTGCAGATGAGAAGGTCAGGTGTAGACTTGACCCAGGGCATCTCAGAGGAGCTGCAAGGCCAGGGGGAGGCTCTGTGGTAAACAGGCGCCACAGGAAGAGCTGGGCGGATGGGTTGTTCAGTCATTGTTTAAGGAGCAGTCAGCTTGGTCCTTGCTAATAGCTCTGCCATTTTTCTGTGTGTTAATCCAGGAGGAATTTTGTTGTCAGAGCCTAAGAGGAGGTTGTCGTAATTGACTTTACGCAGCAAACACTAAAACACAGCTCTTCAGCTCCGCCTTTCTTGTAAGTTTATCATTTGTTCCCAGTGGTCATGAAAACTAAGTTATATGGTGCCATCTTTCCATACACTTGGAACCCTGAAATCCAAGTAGACTTTCTGTTTGTTCATGTACATGTTTAATAGAAAAGTCTCCATTGTGGCAAAAACTAACTTCCTTCAGCTGAAGTCATTTGTTACTTCAGAGTATCTGTTCAGGCGTGTTGGGCACCGTACGGCAGTTCTTAATGCATTGTGTATCCTTCTAGGCTCTGAGAATTGGAAAACCAAAAAGGTTTTGATGTTTTGTGTGGCGTCACCTGAATTAGAAGCCAAGATGAACGTAACCAAAGGCGGCCTGGTGCTGTTCTCAGCAAATTCTAACTCCTCGTGCATGGAGCTTTCCAAGAAAATCGCCGAGTGAGTGCAGTCACACCGCCAACGTCCGTGCTCATCGTGTGGGGTTTAAGTTTGCTCGTCGGGTTAGCGCTGGCTGTCAGATTTGGAAGCAGATATTTTAGAGTTAATTTGCGGGTCACCTGTGTGTCCAGGGCTGGCCTCTGAGCTGCTGTCACTCCTGCACATGGCTCAGCAGACCTTCTCTGAGTGCCTGCTGAGTGCCAGGCTGTGCTGGGCGCTGCCTGTGTGTAGGAGTCTCTGAGAATACAGAGCAGTGAAGTAAGTGTGTGTCCTATCCGAAAGTGTTTGTAGATTATAGTTAAGCATAATTTAGTCATTTATTAAATAAGTCTGGTGCTAGACCTTGGTCTGGATATTGGGGTTAACAGTGAACAAGCTGGTCAGGGTCCTTTCTTCCTGCGCTTGGTGGGGAGCTGGACAAGAAGCAGGTCAACAAAACAAGCAGGATGGCTTCTGAAGAAGAGCCTGGAAGGGCTGGTGGGGCTGGGCCAGCGGCTGGAGCCGGTGCTCGGGCGTCTTGCAGCCACAGGGTGGAGTGTGAATTGAGAAACCTTAATCAGAGGGAATGTCTGGGGGCGGGCAGAGGGAGCAGCAGGGACGTGGCTGGAGGGCAGGGAGCACCTGCTCAGGCCCAGGGTGGGGGTGAAGGTCAGGTAAGGGAGCTACCGACAGCTTTCCATCCACCACACCTTACATTTTATAATAGGATTACTTCTGTTTTTAAAAATGTTTTGTTTTTATCAATTGATAAGTCATCCTTAATAGTAAAGATGTTGGGTGTGTTCCACTGCCTTCTCAGTGTTTTCCCTCTTTCTCCTCTGCAGGCGGCTGGGAGTGGAGATGGGCAAAGTGCAGGTGTACCAGGAGCCGGACAGAGGTGAGTGGGGCTCTCCGCGCCTGTGGGGGTCTTTCTGTGGCGTATGCCCTGCTGGTCGGTCCTTCATCCTCCACCACTGAAGCAGGCGGACTCAGGGTCCATCTGTTAGAGGAGGGTGGGCAGAGTGGGCCAGAGCAATGTCTCTGCCAGACAGAGAATCCCGGGGCAAGTCACGGCTGGGCTGAAGCGCCTGTCCTCAGACCTCCCCGAGGAGCGGCCGCAGGGCTGCAGGAGGCGGCTGGTCGGCTGGGGGAAGCATCAGCCTAGCAGGCGGTTGAACCTGCCACGCTAGTCGGGGCACACACATACAAGTGGCTGCGGTAGCACGCCGGTCGTACTTTACCCCAGCATCCCCCCGCGGGCTAGATGCCACGCTGTCCTGTTCAGAGGCGCTTTTGCTGATTGATTTATGTCGTTGCATAAGCACACCAAGTTGTAAGGAGTGTCTGTGTAGTTTCTGTAGGAAGGGTGGGTGTTTGAAATCATGCTGGCAGGCGTGGTGGACGGCCCGCACAGGATCAGCTAGCAGATCCTCGTCGGGCCTTGTCCCCTTTCCAGACTGCAAATAATTGGGTTGTTCTGAGGGGTGAACGGGAGGCCTGGTGTGCCTGACACAGTTCTTGGCACGCAGTAGGTAGGTGCTCAGGAGATACTGTTCCTTCCCCTTTTCTACCATAGGATTTTGTCAGCTGTGTGAGTGTTAGAGACCCACAAGGCACTTTGACGGAAAGACACAGATTTGTTCTTCCCCCTTTATTTCTACACGACTGCTTCCTCTTCCCCGTCTCCCAGGATCCCCCACGTGGCTTCAGTGGGAAAAAAGTATAATTGAGGAAAATTTGCAGAATGTTTGGAGAAGATTATACTGCTGGAGGGAGTCAGATGGTGTCCTGTGTCTAGTCTAGGAGGGAGGGCTGGGGGGCCGTGATGGCAGACTCTGGAGGAGGCTGGTCCATCCACCAGGCTCACGAGTGAGGGAGAGGGCGTCTCTGGTGTCTGCTGGGGAGGAAGGAGAGAGCTGACGATTATGGATTCCTTACTGTTACCAGATGCTGGGAAATGGAGCCCAGGGACGATGTTAGGTCCAAGGTTTCAGAAGTGCAGAGTCAGGGTTCGAATCGAGATCTCCCTGACTTGTTCTCTTTCCGTGATGCCACATTCCTTTGTAAACTCATGTTCTACTTTTTCCGACATCTTTATTGAAAATGTTCCAACCTAAAAAAAAAGTGAAATAGTGCAACGAATAGCCACGTGAGTGTCTACCACCTGGATGCAGCAGCAGGTGCTTTGCTCTGGGAATGTGTGTGCGGGGCCCTTTGGAAGTGAGCTTCGGACACCAGGACACTTCGCCCCTGATCGCGCGGCCTGCCTCTCCTGAGAGTGAGGACTTCCCCCGCGTCGGTGCCCTCCCACTGTCACATAAATGATGATAATTCTCTGTCGTCTGTTTATGTTCAGATTTCCTGGTTGTGCTGAAGAGCCTTTTATAGCTGTGGTGTGATTTTTGTGTTTTGTTTTTTTTCACTGGGATTCTTGGTTCAGGTGACGTGTTTTTTATCTCTTTAGCTTCTAGCCTAGAGCAGTCCGCTCACCCTCTGTTTTTCCTTCCCACACGTTGGCTTTTTGAAGAGGTCGTCTTGCAGAGCTTCGCTCCTGACCTGCCTGTCTCTGTGTGGCTGACGACAGGCGTACTGAGTAGGGGTTGGGCCTTGTTTATCTTTACTTTCACAACGTTATTGTAACGTTTGTGCCTAATAAGTTCTTTCTTGTTAATTAATTAGTCAATTCTTGAACGGATGAGTGTAAAATTTCCCGTGAAGACTCGATGCTCAGTGGTCCAGCACTGTTTCTGTACAAGAAATGAGAAGGGTCGATTTACTTGTTTCAAGGCAGACGTGTAATTCCTTCCTGAGCAGGTCCTGTACTGTAAAAAGTGTGACTAGTCCCCGCATGTTCGTCGTCCTCGGCGGCAGTTAAAGGCCAGCGAGTTCTGTAACAGTTCCAGTTCCCATACTTTGTAACTTTGGTGAATGATGCAGATGTTTTGTGTGTATCTTTAAAACCTACGTGCCTTCTTCCCCGTTCCCATTTTCCCGTTCTCCTGCCAGAAACAAGAGTGCAGATTCAAGAGTCCGTGAGGGGGAAGGACGTGTTCATCATCCAGACGGTGTCCAGGTGGGTGCCCACCCCACAGCGCCAAGCTTGCTGGTCCCTGTGAGGCGCGGGCGTTCAGGGTGACGAGGGTCCACTGGGCAGGAGGAACTGAGGTAGGGTGGAGGTTGGGGCGTCTTTCGGTGCTGACTTCTGACACAGCTGCTGCTCCGTGTGCTCTTGCAGCGTCCTCCACGGGCGGAAGTGGCCGCGGGTCGGCACAGGCCCTTAACGGCAGCGCCATAACGCCTGCCGTCAGCAGCCAGAATTCCGTGAAACCTGCAGGGGGGCTTTCTGGTTCCAAAAGAGAGAAAGTGCGGCTGGAAGAGGGGCTGGCTTTCTCAGGGCTCTTGGAGCTTTGACTGCAGATGATTTAAGTGTCACTCGTTAGTGTCTTGTTGTGTGAGTCAAAGGAGCCGAGAAGGCGGGAGGACAGTGTGTGTGTCTGTGACACGATCCCCGTGTGTGCCGCAGGGTGCGGGGCAGAGGTGTGGGTGCCCAGTGCAGTGGTCAGACGACCCCTGTCCACAGACGGCCCTGCGCGCCTCCGTCCACCAGCGTTCTGCTCGGGGCAGTTTGTAATGGTGTCTAGAGGCCAGTTTGTGTTAGTGCATCACTTTTTAGCCTAGAGACCGTCAGAATTGCTAAAATTGTTTATGTGTGTACGTACCAAGGAAAGGGTGGATGAGCCAGATTTCAGGAGAATTTAGACTTGGAACACATGTGTTTTCTCCTGAGTTTTGAACATCTCTGAGCTGGTGCTTGGGTGGGTGTAAGGCCTGGCGTTGCGGTGGGCTGTGGGGGAGGAGTGGAGTGCGGGGTGGGAGGGTCGGGGTGAAGGGCAGACCCTGGGGGGGCCTCGGGAGCACTGCAGGGCCTTGGGCTTCTGCCGAGAGCAGAGTGGGAAACCATCTCTGGGCAGAGAATGCGGGATTTGACTGTAAGATCCGCTGGATGCTCTGGAGGGTGGACGGCAGAGGGGCTGCCTGGGGGCAGGGAGGGCGGTGGTGCGGGTGGTCAGCAGCGCCTGGCTGGGGCTGGGGCCCGGCCGCCGTGTGGCAGTGGAGTCGGGCGCTGCTGCGACTTTCTGGCTGGGGGACGGGCAGGTTTGCCTCTGGGGTTTGTGCTTAGTGCGTGTGGGAGTAGTGTTGCCGTCAGCGGAGAGGGCAAAGCTTTTGTGATGAAGCAGGCTGTGAGGGGCGAAGAGCACTTCAGTTTGGGGTATGTTCTGAGATGTCTTAGCAGACGTTCAAGTGGAATTGTCCAGGAGCAGTTGCATTCGTCAGACTAGAGTTGAGAAAAGAAGCCTGGGCTGGGGCGATTTGTCCGAGTGTCCCTCACTGATGAAGCTATGAACCTGCAGGGGGCTCTGGGTGAGGGGAGACCGGAGGCGGGGACAGGTGGACGGGCGTTAGGGTAGGAAGCTGTGGAGAAGTGGGGGTGGTCGGGGTGTCAGGGAGCGGGGGCGAGCACCCGGCAAGACGCTACCACTGGGAGGGGAGGGGGTGCTGAGAACTGACCGTTGGCTTCAGCCACGTGGTGACCTGGATTGCGGCGTGTCTGGGAGGATGAGAGAGGAGTTGGAGGTGGCCGGTGTAGACGGCGCTCTGGAGACGTGCTGCACGAGGGGCTTGGGAACAGGGACGTGGGCTGAGCTGTTGTTAGTGGGGGAAATAGCAGTGGTTAGAGGCTGCCGGTAAGAGCCCTGGCGGGGGTGGCGTTGGTGATGGCGTCCAGAGAGCGAATCAGCAGAGCCCTGTCCTGGGGGGCACGGGGCAGGGGATCAGCGCGTGGCGGGGAGGGCCAACTGGAGAGTAACTTCGGTCTCCAGCTGGTGGCTTGGGGCCGGCAGGCTCGTGGGGTGCACGTGGTGGGGGGCGGGCGGCTCTCTCTTGCCAGTGCTTTTACCGGTGGAAAATTAAGTAGGGTCATCGGCTGCGAGGGAAGTGGGCAGAGCGGATGGGGCCGAGCAGGGAGGAATATGCCCTCTTCTTTGTGTCTGGAGCCCGTCTTGGTCGAGGTGGGCATGGCGCGTCCCGACCGTTTGCTGGGACAGAGAGGTGTTCCCAGTGACTGACGTTCGCTGCTGGGGCCCTGCCTCTTGGGTTCCAGGGACGTGAACAGCACCATCATGGAGCTCCTGATCATGGTGTACGCGTGTAAGACGTCTTGTGCCAAAAGCATCATCGGCGTGATCCCCTACTTCCCGTACAGCAAGCAGTGCAAGATGCGGAAGCGCGGCTCCATCGTCTCCAAGCTGCTGGCGTCGATGATGTGCAAAGCTGGTGAGGATGGCGGCTGTCGGGAGTTCAAGCTTCACCTTAGGAATTACAAAACATTGTTTTACCTAAATTAGAAGGTTGAACAGAGTAAAAACAGTGGTACAGCTTGAAGACAGCCCATTTATGGTGAGAAGACAGTGCAGTGGGTGCTCCCCTGTCCCCAGTCCCTGAATTCCTTGTTTGAGAAGTTACATCGCGGTGACAGGTGACAGCCATACTTGAGTTGCTTCTAAGGGGGAGGCGTTTGGAACGACCTGCTCCAGCACAGCGGCTGCTTTTATTCCGGCCTCTTCCTTTCCCAGGACAGAGTGGTGTAGCTTTCAAACCACACACATTGTTTTGTGTTGTGCATTTTCAGGTGACATCCTGAGTGTCTGCCCCTTGTTTCTAAGTCTTCAGAGCTGTTCCTGCGTGTGTGCGTGCGTGTGTGATTGCAGAAGGCACGAACCACAGGGCATTTGCACAGAGGAAAGAATAAAAAGTCCTCGTGTCACTATTTTAACACAGACACTTCATGTAGAATAAGCTTTCTGCTGTAGCATTTCAGAGAAGGCAAGACCAAGACACAATTCGATAAAAAGAACCCCAGGAGCCTGGAGCGCAGCCTGCTGAGAGCTCTGGGGGGCCGGGGCTGGGGGGACCCTCTGAGCCTTCCAGGAAGCTCTGCCCTTCCCTTCTGGCCTTGCTTCTGGGCGGGCCCCGAGGCTCACTTTCCTGCTCTTTTCAGCAAGCTTTGCTTTTTAACATATTTCCAGTTGAATTTTCCTTGTACTTTGTGGGTGATCGTTTCAAATATCCGTTAAGGAGTCAGTGGGATGAAGGTTCTTCCAGGCCTGCGCAGTTTGTTCTCGTATTTGAAGGCAGTATTTGTCTTAATACGGCTTGTCACACCTGCTGACGGAACTTCAGGGAGAGGAGGCCACTCTGATGGTCTCAGAGACGTTTCTCCGTCACTGCGATCTCGGCTGTTTTAAGACTTGAAATTGGTGTGAAAGTCACGCATCTCCGTGTAAGCAGAACCACGCAGTCTTCCCTTCTGAGGAGGGAAACCGCCTCCTGTGAGTTTCCTTTACTCCTCACACACAAGCACTTCACTTCCGACACTTCTGCCTCCAAGTACGTAGAGGCTTTCTGCACGGCACCAGCTGTGTGTCCTGCATCTTAACTCAGGCCTGACCCCGTCCACCGGGGGGTGGCATCAGATCCCGTGAGATGGCCCCCGTGGCCCCCTCAGATGCCAGTCTCAAGTCCAGGCTGGCACCATGCTCCTCACTAGTTGGCTGTCAGTCGGGGAGGGTCCCACAGCCTCCTTCTTGGGTCCCATTCATTTGCTGGAACCACTCACAGAACTGGGGGAACTGTTCCTACTGTTCGCTGGTTGGCTCAGAAACGACAGGATAAGGAATCAGATGAGTCCGCTCGGGGCGGGCGGGGTGCGGGGCGGGGCCGCCCGCCTGATCACCAGCCTGGAATTCCCCCGTGCGCTGGGACTTCTTGGCGGCTTCCACATGAAGGCATGGCCCTCTGTTAGCTCCACGTCCAACCTGTGCCCTCTCTGGAGAGGGGGTGGTGGGAAGCCTGGAAGCGCCAGCCCCACCCGAGAGCCCATGCAGGGCGGCCTCGCCAGAGTAGGAGCTGCTCCCGGTGCTCTGATCGGTGCAGAGTTTACGAGACTCTCTGGGGCTCTGGGTCAGGAACCAGGTCAGAGAGCAGACGGGAACAAGAGGTGCCCCTGGCGCCCTCCCCTCCGAGGATGTCCCAGGGGATGTGGGAGCTCTGGGTCGGGAGCCGGGGCAGAGGTGAATATGTATATTTTCTGTTATAATCTCATTGTACTAAAAAAAACCTCAGAAATAAAGATGGCTGAGTTTTGATGAGAGAGCGACTTTTAATAGTAATTTGTTAAATACCGTATCTTGCTCTATATAGAACTTATTTCATACAGTGCGGCTGGCTGTGAAACCATCTGTGTCTGTGTCTGCTTTGTCTTCACAGGTCTCACTCATCTCATCACCATGGATTTGCACCAGAAGGAAATCCAGGGCTTCTTCAACATCCCTGTTGACAATTTAAGGGCGTCTCCCTTCTTACTACAGTATATTCAAGAAGAGGTGAGCTGGTCAAACTTGCTGTGACATTTGTTTAACAACTATTTTAACATTGTTTAAGGTTAGCATTTCCATCTCCTTGGGCTGTCCATGAAGAAATAAAACAACGTGTTCTGCTTGAAGTACAATTTAGTTTATAAATGTAATTTGGTGTGTTTTAACAGCCTTGATCTGCAATTTGTTTCTTTTGCTAAGCTTTTTAAATTGCTTTTGTTTCTTTTGGACCTCAGGTACCTAGAATTGGACTAGTGATTCTGACAGATAACTCACTTGTGTCACTGGTCCCTGTGTGGACCTCTTTTGTATCCGTCTGTCTGCCTTCTCTCTGTCCGTCCCTCTGTGGTAGTCAGCATCCGTGACCCTGCCCCCAGCAAGACAGCAAGAATCATTGCGGTAACTTGCATTCACCCGTGTGGTCCTTCCTGTCCTGTCCCGCTGCCTCCTCCCGCCAAGGGGACCTCTGTCCTGACTGTTTCATCTTCCTCTCAGTTTCTTTTTGTCACTCGTATGTGTATATATACGTGTGACAAATACATGTATTTCAAAGACAGAAACACACTACACACACACACACACACACACACACACACACATATAAATAAGTTTAACTTTATAAAAGGAGTCAAATCACGTGATCTGGGAGTTTTCCGCTCGCGCTGCGTCAGTGAGACTCACCATGTGTCTGTGCCGGTTCACCCGCTCTGACTGCTGAGAGACGCTCCTCATGCAGCTGTTGTCGGGCTTGTTCTTAAGGTTTGGCTGCTGTGTGAGTGTCCTGTGCACACTCCTGAATGAGTCTCCCGTGCTGCGGAAGCCACGTGCCTTGGTCGTGTACCCGGCGTGGAATCGCTGGGTTTAGCGTTCCCAGAGCAGCCCTGCCGGCTCCTGTCCCCGCCAGCAGGGAGTTCGCTGTCCAGTCAGTCCTTTGCTTCCTGCTTACGTGATCGGGGTCTGAAGCTTTTGCCCGCAGGGTGGCTGCACTGCTGCCTCGTTACTTTGATGGGTGTGTCCTGACGCCTCAGGACGGTGGCCGTCTCTTCACAGTGCCGTCCTCTGAAAGGCGCCCGGGGCCTGTTGTGTGGTGGGTGGTGGGTGGTCTCTTCCTGAGCTGCAGGCCTTCGTTTTGGATTCTGATTCCAGCCGTTCGTGTTTGTTTCACTCCCCCAGCTTGTCGCTGGCCTTTTCGTTTCCTTTAAGGGGGTCTTGACAAACACGCTCAGATTTTTTTCATTGAGGTGAAATTGACAAAATTTTGACACAAACACATTTTAACACAGGCAAGTCTGGTATTTTGTGTATTTGCAGTGGTGTACAGCTTTCCCCTCTAGTTCTGGTTCTTTTCATCACAAAGAACACCTCGTACTCTTGAATAATCACCCCCCCCTTCCCTGGCAACTGCTGATCTGTTTTCTTTCTCTGCGGACTTACCTGTCTTGGACGTTTTGTATAAATGGAATCATGCTGTATGTGACCTTTTGTGTTTGGCTGCGTTCACTTGGCTTAGTGCCTTTAGGCCCGTCAGCGCCGCCGCGCCTGTCAGGACCCCGCCCTT